CGCTGGCGAGACAGCAAAGACTGTCTCGCTGGCGAGACAGTTCATACTTGTTTTGATTTTTCCAAAACAGTATGAAATCCTTTCTTGTGAATTTTTGAGTGATCTTCTCTATGCTTGGAATATCTATTAGCATTTTTTGATGCCTACAGAAACAAACGCAGGATCGTTGTTTGGATCGCTGCTTGCGCGGGATCTTTACCTGTGACGGGAGTGCTTTGACTCGTGGACCACCAAATCACAGATTGTGAGGGGTTTAGAGATTCTTCCTTCGTTTATCGGAGTAGGAATTTGAAGTGAATATCTTATCAAAGTAAGACGATCATTCTTCTTAAGATCAAGTCAAAGCTCGAATCGCAAGGAATCATACGAGAAACTCAATTCTTGTTGTTTTCTCTCTGCTCTCTATGCTCAGATCTGCTCCAATTTGCTCGATCCTCTTCAGTGGTGACCTTAGGGGGGTATTTATAGCCTCTGGGACACGTAACTGAAAAAATATAACAAACGACAAAGTTAAGCCTGCGAGACAGTGTTTACTGTCTCGGCGGCCGAGATAGTGTTTGCTGTCTCGGCCTCCGAGACAGTAAATACTGTCTCGAAAAATCCAACTGCCTGGCAGTTTTTGCTGTAACCACTTTCCCACGTTTCAAACTCCGTTATTTTGGCAGTTATTCACGTGATTTTTGTCCACGATGTTTTCCACGTCCCTTGGCAGTTAATGGACACGTGGGTGAAAGTTATTAATTTATTTTTGACCATTTCAAAACTGTCTCGCTGCGAGACAGCAAACACTGTCTCGCTGGCGAGACAACAAATAACTGTCTCGTTGCGAGACACGCAGATACACTGTCACTCGCTAGCGAGACAGCAAACACCTGTCATCGCTGGCTGTAGCGTCTAAAAATCACAATAGATAGCTTATTCAAACAAGCTCCGACAAACGGAGGGTCACAATCAGAACCGACTTCCCAATCACTGTATCCAGAATCCACATCGGCCACACACACGACATTACACTTCTGAGATGATTGATCTGATGGGCTGTGACAACAATGGCTTTAATATCATAGCAACTATTAAGAGATACTGATGAGCAGTGGTACGATTTCAGAAATAAAAGGTTGGAACTCAGTTGGTGAGAATTGCGTTGAGTAGAGAGCTGTGGGCGAATATTCATCTTTAAGACAAGCTATGGATGTTGATTCCCGTCTAGACCCTACAACGAAAGCTTACAATCAAAATAGTTTTCGGGTCGGTGAACGAGAATGTGCAATAGGGCTTTTCACATAGATCGAGAAGAGTTGACAATTCAACGATGACTCTGACGATTGATGCAATTCTATGCACAGTCTCACAGATCTACAGTGAAGGGGTTATTGAGTTGACAAATCTGACGGCTTGTTTGAGCCACAACTCCCACCAACAACTAAAACAGGATTATTGACCACGTCCTTGGCAAACGCTGCTAGCATGAAGAAGTTAGGCGAAGTCAAATGCTCCTTCTGAAAACGCAGGACCGGTCATCCCCAGGCGTCACGAATTTGAAAACCAACAGCGACCCCGCGTCGACAATTGCATGCAAGCCAAACAGTGAGCGACCCTCTGCGCGTTCAATGGTGTTCAACACCAGCGACCTTCGCGGTCGATCAAATAGCACACAGCAGAACGGTGAGCGACAGCCTGCGCAGTTCAAGTGGGTGTTCAATCCAACAGCGACCCTGCGCGTCGACAAGCACAAGCCAGAATGTGAAGCGGACCTCGCGTGTTGCAATCGTGTGTGTCACCAAGCAGCGAGACGCTCAGCGTGCGAAATGCACAAGGCGGCAAACGTGAGCGAGTCCCTGGCGTCATGGTGTTCGCTGAACCACGCCAAACTTCGCTGATCTCGATGTCAAAAAGCACGAAGTTGAGGGTTCTGAATTGCTAGTCGAACGGCTTTCAGAACCGTTTATCCACGTTCTGAGGGGATTTTCGCGCTCAACTGGTAGGGACGCGGATAATAGGGTGTTACAAACCCCTTTATCCGCCTATAAAATAAGTCATACAAACTCGATCAGAGTTGGAGAGATCGATTTTGAATAATCAGATCAAGATTCGGATTCCTTTTACATCAAAACATCAAGCGTTAGGAGATTCGCAACGAAGCATAACGAAATCCTAGGATAGGATTTTTGGAATCACACTCACGAAGAAAATCTGAGAAGGATTCTCGACAACAGAAAAACAGCTTGATCCTTAACCGAATTTTTCGGTCCCAACAACTCTATTCACAGAGTTAAAACTCGTTCAGAGTTCTTAAACTCATTCAGAGTTATTCATAAAACTTTCCACGAAAGTTCATCGTTCCACGAGATAAAGACGGTCGGATCCGTCAACGGAGAGCAGTTCGACGCAATCAATCGAAGGAAGCACTCCATCGCTGCCAAGAAGAACCCAGTTTTAAACAAAGGGGGAAACCAAATTCGTTTTCCTCTCTTTTGTAATCAAGTTGTAAGCCGAGATCAAAAGAATCAAATCACATTTTCTTTATTCTCTTCTTTGGCACATTTTCGCCTAGCATAGCAATGGCAGAGACAGTCTATACCTGTCTTGATCTTTCTAAGACAGTATGAAGTCAATTCTTGTGATTTTTAGATATCTATCAGTATTTTTTGATGCCTACACTAATGTCCAAACTCAGTGTACACTTTCATCAAAGGGTTTGAAACCCAAGCATTCAAATCTAAAAATAGCTTGACATACAAACAATGATCTAGTGGAGAGTAGAGAGCAGTGGAGAGGGTGGATAGCAATGGAGATGGTGTAGGGTGGTGAAGAGGGTGGATGGTGGAGAGCAATGGATAGGATGGAGCATGAGGAATGATGGCAATGGGAGGCGGTACTTCAAGGATGATGGTAAGAGACAGAGGCAAGATGATTTCTTTCGTGGCGGTGTGGTGACATAGGAGGAGGGAGGAACAATAGCTAAGGGAAATTAGGGTTCGAGTTTAGGGGGCATAAAGGGGGTTTAATGTGGAAGAGAATTTGGTGGTGGGGCTATGAGGGAAATGGGGGAAGAGTGGATTTGGATTATTGAGGAAGTGTGTTTGGTCGGCGGTGGAATTGGCGGCAATCTCAAGAGGAGGTGGTTGGATGGGGTTGAGATGAGAGAAAAAATGGAGAGAGAGAGAGAGAGAGAGAGGAGAGAGAATTAAAAAGAGAAAAGAGTAAATTAGAGACTTGGGTGAAATATATACACATGGTGTATTATTGAGCTTTAGGGGCTAGGCCACTTTTGTTTATTTTATTATATGGGCTGAACCACATGTGATTAATACAAAGGGCTAGGCCACATGTGATCCTCATTTTTTAGGGCATTGACACAACTTTTTCAAAAAAATTAAAAAATTAAAAAATAAATATAATAAAGAACAGAAAAATAAACTTTAGTATTTCACTTCTACGTTGAATCCGGATATTTTTCTGCTAAAAGCATCGATCACAAAATATCTTCTGATAAAATTCAATGTACTCGGCCACGATATAATATCTTCTAATTAAAACCTATCTATTAAACCGCTGGAAGGATCCAAACCCACATCAAATTGTTACAAAGAGATAAGGTAAAAAGAGGGGGAGTGTATATACATATTTTTCAAAGTTGAGTATCCATCATGTCTCATTAGGCATGATGGGCCCACTTCGTAAAGCAGACGGTTTGTAAACATTTTGGATTTTAATCTTATCCCCTCGACAGAATCTTCTCTCACATTTTTGACCAACTTTTCGAGGGAGCAGCATTTGGTTTACCCATCGAAGGAGAAGATTCCTTACGATATACATGACCATCAGCAGAGACATGTGATGGTGGTGTGAGAGTCATTATTCTTCGTCATCAACTTCGGATCGCGAAAAGAAGTTCACGAGTGCTTTACCGTCAATCCTCGATTTGAAGATCGCATTGATTTGTTTTATTGATTATCTGGATTTAGATATTTGATGCCAATAATACATTACTTATTTTGCATTATTTATTTTTATTGGTTATACTGATTTTTATTTAAGAGGGCACTATGTATATAGATTGACAGTGCATTTTACGAAAATGAATTGCCAAGGCAAGGACTTTGAGCCCTTCATCATGCACCGATTTGGATTTGGCTAGCGGAGCCTCTATCTCTCAATAGGCTATTTTCTTAAGGTATCCTTTGGCAAAGGGTTAAGTAAGGGGTTAAGGAGACTTAACCCCTTCTTAACCCGCCAAACACAAAAAAACTATACGATGGTTAAAGTGGGTTAACTTTTCATAATTTGTCAAACATAAAAAATATATAAGGGTTAAGCTAACCCCTCTAGAGGGATTAAAATGAGTTTAACCCCTGAAAATGAGGGGTTTACTAATACTAATATTTAGAATGACTAGTTGGATTGCACGTGCAATGCACGTGGTAATTTTTTTATTTATTATAACAAGGTTGTAAAAATTTGTAGTGAGGAGACGGTAAATGTTCATGTGGTTGTATCTGACAACTACTGTTCTTGCTGCAATCTCCTTTTATGCAGCGAGAGGACGATAAATGTTTTGCTTTTCGTTTTGTATGTTTAGAGATAGTTGAGAAACCACGACAAAAGAGTAGGATTAGTTGAGAGTTTTCCCTGTTGCTGATATAATCATTTCATATGTAACCCAATGTTTTGATGCAAGGATTAAAAGAACCTTTGTTGTTTTGTTCATTATTGATCATTGCACAGAGCTCAATATGTGTAGTGTTTTTTCTCCTGATTTGGCCCACGTTGCCTCACATGGGAATGTAAAGCAAACTCTTAACATTCAGAGTCGTTCAATGAGTAGACTGAATATTGTAGTACATAACACATGCTTCTAAGAGTTTCAGCTATCAAATGAATGCAACCTCTGATATAATACTTCTCTCTCCTGAATCAAAAAAAACTTTAATTTGCCTGCACGAACCAATCAGATATCTTGAAGGAAAACCTAGGGTAGAAGTATTTTGACAAAAGGATTTCAATAGAATAACAGAAAGCAAAAAACTATGATTTGGATTCTCAGGTTTCTTACATTGTTTCAGTCTTTTTACATGGCAATGTAAGCTGACTGCACCGAGAAGATGCATACAAATATTTACACTATAATCATACTTAAATATTCTTTACAAAGGAATTAAGCTCTCATCAGCTAGGGTAGTCTAGATGATAAAGATCTCACAATACATTATGTTGATCCCCTTTGTCAGTGTCTCTTCTTATCAAAGAATTTGTATCATGTCATGAGAAATTATAAATGCCATGAGAAATTATAAATAGCAAACAGAAATTCGAGGAAGAGCGCAAAGCATAAGGGAATTGTCCTTTGCTCAGGTTGTTGCATTCGATGGCGTTTATTGTCAACAACGGAATGAACTGCATCAGAGCCCTAGAATTACCATCTAGCAATTTGACAATTCCAAGAAGAGCTCACAAGCATAGGTTAGTATGAATGCTAGCTACAGACTCTAATCACAGCGTTATGAAAGGAGAGTTTTGCAACTTGGTTTCCAGTCACCTGAAATAGTGTCAAGATAAACAAATGCCAAACATCATCTCATAACATTCTCATACTCATCACGTTGGTAGTCTATGAAGCTTAACAACTGGGTAACGTTTCCTTACCCACAATTTGAAATGGCTAACTTCTTAAACCCACATCAATTCTTAATTGTGGATTGTACTTCAGTGACGTAACCCAATTGCAGACAGACCTCATTGTAGTTGTATGTTTGAGGATAGACCCCCTTGTACTATCACTGAACTGTGGATAAACCCCTGAGTGATTTCTTTTTTACCCTCAGGAGGCATAGTTGTCACTCACAAAAAAACAACTTTCTCTTTTTCTGATGGTAAAAGACTAAAAAAGTCACTCAAAGGGTCTATCTCCAACAATAGAACTACAGGGGATCTATGCGCAATTAGATAATGGTACAAGGTGTCTATCCACAATTAACCCAAAAGAAAACCAAAACATATCGTCTCAATATTAGTTTTTAGTATTAAAAATTTATAATAAAAGATACTAACTACGTTTATTGAATCATAGTGTGAAGTTTTAGTAGTGCAACGAAATTTACCACATTTCAATATCTGGGAAAAGATTATCAACAGAATTATCTGTGGAAGCCCAATCTCAATACACTTGGCAACCTGGGCAAACAGAAGGATCAGCCAATTATAATAGATCTTCTACCACATCTTATGTAAATGATACAATAAACAATCTCAAAAGGTTCATAGCACAAACTTGTGAACAACAACGACAAGTCTGCAAATAGAAAAATAAGTTTAAAAAAACAAAATGATGCTTACGCTGAGAAAGCCTAACTCATAGAGACCAAATCCGGATAAGGCAAGTAAAGGAACTGTTGATAGTGGACTCATAAATCTGAATTGTACAAAAATAAACAAATAAATAAATATCTATAAACAGAAAAATTGTAGGTTGGTATAAATGGAATGCATTCTAGAGATTCATAAGTAACCTAGTGACATTAAGCCAAAGGCCACTGAAGCCTACGATAATCTGAAGTGTTGAAGCTACAATTAAAGCACCTTGTGTTCCTCACATTATATGTAAGAATTTGTAGTACAAAATTAAATATATAATTTATCTTCAAAATATTAACATAACTCTCACTTCCTTTCATTAATTTAACAAAGTACAGAAGTACATACCACATCATAAATATAAACATGCTTGTCATGGGATTCCGTGTAAATATATCTCTGGCCTCTGCTGAAACATTGATGAAGATAAATGCATAAATAAAGCAAATTAAACGCACATCCTTTAGCTAAAAAGTAATCCGTGTCTTTGAAATCAGAGAAACATGCTCTATTGCTCCGTTACGTTTGAACTCAAACTTATAGCCAAATTATCACCATAAACCAAACTAACAATAAACTGCAGTCTGATTCCTCCTCAAATAATCATTTGTGCCCTACCCCCCTACCCACCCTCCCCCTAATCCACAAAACAAAATAAAACTGTAAATAGTGCAATGCTCAGAGCTGGGAACATAAAATTTACTGAAGCCCAACAACGAATTTACTAACTCTTCCATATGACTGATAATCAAATCTAATATCAGCCATCTATGAGTGACGTTAACCAAGTGACAAGAAACAAAACAAAAAAAATTAAAGAGCCTGATACCTGTGCACAAGCTTAAAAATCTCTTCAAGTTTCTGCAAAACTAAAATACCAGTATCTTTGTTATAAATTTTCTTCATGTGTACTCTATCATAAGAGCTTTTTGTTTAGAACAGAAATTTGAAGAGCACGGGCATGGAGCTTGATGGTTGGAAAAAAATGAACCTTTTTATTATTTCCGTCTAAAGACGTGGATTAGTAAACCCCTCATTGAGAGGTAACTTCTTTTAACCTGTATGGACAGTTTATGTTAACCTTTTTATTATTTTTGCATGTGACAATTAAGATGGATAAGATAATTTAACTTAATTTTACACATTTTTATGTTTGACAAGTTAAAGAAGGGGTACCTCTTCTTAACCCCCTAATTTATCCCATTGCCAAACAACTCTTAAGTCTCTGGGATGACTGTTTGTGGTGGATGCACATTGACACCACTATGAAAAATCCTATCAGAATTAATTTAGGTTATCTCCTGTTTGAACCTAATATGTTGTGCCATATTCTGATAGCTGTTCCTCTTTAGTTTTCTTTGTAATTCAAAATACAACAAAGCATCTAAATGCAAATGCAAAACATAACAAGGGTGTAACGTTCGGGCATGTATGTGGAGACCAGTAAGTTAAGTAGGTAAGGGTAATGAAGAGAGGAGTAGGGTTAGATCTAGACAAACCAGGGACTGGATATTGTAGTTGTTAATTTAACTGAGCAAATGTCCCTTATCTGAGCTGAATGAAGGAATCAAGGATTCATGATATAGTCCACCCAGAAGAGTATCAACAAAGAAGTTATGTTCTTTGTGATCTGTTATTAATCATAAATGAAAAATTAAGCGTTTACACTTTTTGGATGCAACACGTGATGATTATTGAATATCATTGTGCTGCCAGACTGACATCTTCCTATGGGCTTTGTCTTTATACAGGTCCTGCATTGAAAAAGTTGGAAGAAGAGAAAGGTGTTGTTGTAAGATTCGTGATAGGAAGAAGGTCATCTGCTCTACAAAAGTGAATCAAAAATATCATTTGAAGTTTCTTTCTTCAAAATCCAACTTAGTAAAGTCGACAACATTAGTGAAACTATCAGTAATAGAGCATTTAAACATCATCATAAGCTATCTGACTAATTCATTAGGATAATAGTAAAGATTAGATATATGTACCTCCTAAATTCAGATCCATTTTTACAGTAACCGCATATAGAGGCAGTACATGTGTCTTGACATCTGGATAGCAGACAATATACTTTGAAGGAGCTTTCTGGTTATCTACACCAGAATCAAAATCTCCAGAACTTGGACCTGATTGTCAGGAGCCGAGAAGTATCATCTTTGTGCTTCCCAAGATTACATGACAAATCACCATATGCTTCAGTCCATCTTCACTAATTGGTGCGGAAATAAGGCTGCAAATCATTTAGCATGAACGTTAAGTTAATGTAAATACTAAAAGTCTGGAAAATTGTATTTATGGGAATTCGAGGAATAAATAGAATTCAAGTATCTGTTTTATACATTAATATGTCTATAATCAGATACTTATATTATACTGCATGCAGAAACAAGTATTAGTCATGTACTATGATGAAATTAACCTAATAAAAATTATGGCTACAATCTACTGAACCTAACTTTAATGAAATGCTACTACAAAATACCTAAAAGACAGTATACACGTTAAAAATTTAACAAACAAATGAAATTTTTGAATACCTTTTGCGAGCGGGAAGCTCTGGACAAAGATGCAAACCAAAGCCATAGAGGCCAGCATTCTCAGGCAATCCACACACACACACACACGAAATCCATCCTTCATTATTCGATCAACCTCATCCTTCGATGCTCCATATGATGAATGAACAACATTTGCATCCCCCCCTCTTATCTTTTTCCATTGGAGAAGAATGAAGACTCCGATAAACATCAACAACCATACACTGTAGTGAAAGAGTGCCAATGCTCAAATAGAACCAATGCTTCGGTATGATATACTCATCATCTTCCTCATTCAGCTTAAGCACCCCATTATCTCCATCGATCGCGTTAGTGACTGGTCCATCAGTGACACTCCCTGACTATGAGAAACAACTCTCCATATCAATTTGCTCCTCCTCTTCACTCCATGATATTTCACCCATGTCAACCATTTTCAATTTATCAAATTAGCTGCAAAAAAAAACAAAAAAAAAATGATGCCCATGTCAGGTTCTACATTAGCAGATTACAAAGATGGGATATGACATCAAATCTTTCTGAAATGTTTTTGGGAAAACTTAGCAAAATGCTCAATTTTACATTGATTCAAAACTAAATATTATACAGCTGTAATGGGTGACAGTATCAAGAAATTATAAATTGATTGGTGCAGAGTACCACTTAACATGTAAATGTCAACAACATTTCACACCTAAATTATTTTACTTTAAATTTGAGAGGGTTTATGTCAAGAACCAATCACTGAGCTATTAACCCATGGATTAACAATGTAGATCAAGCTAGCATTAATTCTCAACATCTAATTCAAACTCTACCAAGATCACAACCGCAAGCTAATAGCTTATCCCGATGATCTGCATCACTTTGATAGAACCACTCTCTCACTTTATTTTCCCTTTCATATTCATCTTGAAAAGTGCCAAGTTCAGTATAGACTTCAAGAATCAATATTGCCGAGGAGGTTTTCCCTGCACAGTACTAATTTGTCAGAAAAGTGCCCTATGCATTATGAAGGATCCATCTTTATTGCAAAAAATAGATAGAACCCTTTCAAGGAAATTTATCACCCTAACCCCTAAAAGAAAGAAATTGTAGAGAAAACATGTAAAATGCTGATAACTTTGTAAGAGATAGAACCCTTTGAAGCAAATTTGTCACTGAAATTATTACATAATGCATCATAATAATGAATTTAGAACAGAAATATACAACCAAAAGATAGAGCTTGAACTCATAATATACCACGTAAGTGAATGCGATAAACTAAAATAAGAGGAGAAAATAGAAGCAAACCCATAGAGAAGGGGAATAAAAAAGAAACCTCCTAATACCCCAAAAATCTAATCCAATGCATGTTTTACTAAACTCACTTACACATAGTCAGCCTCAGAATAGTTAATAAAAATTGTGATTATTAAGCTGGTGCTGTTACAACTTGCAAATCAATGTTCTATAGAAGGCAATGTCTGCTTTAATGGAAATTTCCTAAAATATTTGGAATCAAAAAGTAGGACATAGCTTCATGTTTGATAGATAACATCGAGTATCAATTATTATGTTAATATTCTGAGGTGTTGTTGCTTTAAATGGGTTAGATGTCAGAAGGTACATGGCAAAAGCACACATTATTATTCTGAATTTCAACAGCTAAAGCTTGAAATCCATAAGTGAAAAGAAAAAGAAAAGGAGAACTTTAGAAGCAGAGCATACATGTATGAAGCTTAAAGATGTTAATAAAGTTTATCACAGGAAAGAAACTGATGCAAGATTGGGAATCAATAGAATACATGGTTAATCTTTTACTAAGGACTCTAGCAATTACTTTAATCACAGAAAGAGGGAGAGGTTACCTTGCCTAGCTCCAAGATATATTGAAATTGATTGTGTAATGAAATGCAAAGAAACAGAGACAGTTATCCCCGATTTCACAGTCATAAATTAGGGTTTTGACTTGTGAGATAACTATGATATCCCACAATTTAAAGTAATAAAACAACTATATAACTATAATCATGCCATAACAGGAAAGGAAAATTTTCAATAAAGAAAAGGAAAATTATGAGAAATGTTAGAAATGGTTTGGGTTTCCAAAATCCAGTTATTAAAGATTGCAAAAGAAGAGATTACAACAGCAGTATCTCTGCTCGTGTTTTGGCAATTCCGAAAGAGGAACCGAGCTTAAACTTTAGGAAATCACAACCAAAATCACAACCTGAAAAATAACAGGAATGAAGCTTAAAGATACTGCTGTTGTAGCAAGTTTCGCAGAGGTCAAAGCCTATCTCTTCTTTGCAATCTTTACATCTGTATCTCTTTCCAGTAATGGGGTACATCTGCAGAGAAGAAGCCTATCTCTTCTTTGCAATCTTTACATCTGTATCTCTTTCCAGTAATGGGGTACATCTGCAGAGAAGAGAGGGTGTTGTCATTTTTAATAACTGTATCTGTATCTCTTTCCAGTAATGGGGTACATCTGCAGAGAAGAGAGGGTGTTGTCATTTTTAATAACTGTCGAGTCTGATACTCGAAAATAATGATAAGAGTAGTTTCAACCCCGAAGGTTTAGAAGATGAAATGCCACAATTCATAAAGAGAATTTAGCAAAACCACCAACTGAAGTTCTCATTCATTCAGAGGAGGCTAAGCTGACATATCAAGGTGCGTAACTGCCAAAATTAACATCTTTCACTCTCAATGACGGCATAATCAGGGTGCTAATCACTAACTTGGAAAGAAGTAGAGCCGTTGCTCATATCTTAGTATAAGTAACAACCAAGTGATAGTATTAAATGTGCTAAAACATAGAACGCTGTAACAAATAGCTATCATGCTAACTATGATTTTCATGAAAAACAGATTCGGCATCATTATCACCTCTTCACGCTAGGTGCTTGGTTTTTTGCTAATGGTAGCACAAGATTGGTAATATTTTGAAATCCTTAAGTCAATGTGATGGATTTCAAAAGATAATGGCCAGGTTACTTCGTTGAAAAAATACTATTAAAGTTTAGATCAAACAATCTTAAAATCATCAAAATAGCATTTACAAGAATATCGTGAACTATTCAATGAAGAAATTGGAATGGAAAACCTCACCCCGCACGTATCACATCCAACTCCAATATGAACATTCCGCAGCTCTTCCTCCAAAAATAAAGGATCATCTTTTAAATCATGTGGTTCAGCCTTTTTTCCCTCTTGCAGAGAACCTGCAATTGCACAACAACTACGGTTAATCAAAGTGTCTCGCTTTTTTAACATATAGTTGGCCTCCATCCAATATCAGTAGACAAATTCAATAACATGTGAATAGGACAAAACTATTTCATTATCACAAGAAGAGATAATTCACCAGATAATGCAAGTACACTCATGATTGAGCTTAACATTCCGAGATCGCTATTCAGAACAACTTCTAAACAGGACAACAAGAAGTAAACAACCCTAATGCAAGGACTGAAACTCTTAATTTTAGCTAATAGTTTTCCATATACACATGTGGTCAAATCAACAGTGTAAAATTTGTATGAAAAGGGTTTTAGGGTTTGCTTGCACTTAAATTGTGGTTGGATGTTGATGGTAGTGTGATATGCTTCGGATAAAAAGTTGCAATGATGGCTGGGATATGCGACAATGTGGTGGTCACTACTCCCAATAACTCAAGAAGAATACTAATAACTTGACCCTTTTCTTGGATTGATCTAATAAGCTTCTTACCCTCACATCATATTATGCAATGTTCTCAACTCAGGAACTGGTCATAACTTACTTAAATGGACAAAAAATCCAAACTTGCCACTTAAGGGAAAAAAGAGACAGTTAAACATTGCAGCTAAGGGATGACAGTCCACAAATAGACAAGTAACTTAATATAGAACCCTGATTGGCTTGAATGAAAAATATCAAATAAACCTAGAACTAATATATCTGGCTCAAATTAAGTCCCAACTATTAAACAAAGGATCGTGATTCTATAGGATTAAAAGTAAACATACTTGATGATGATTCTCTAAGTCGCCATTTAACGCCTTAATGAGAAAAAGAAGGAGAAGGTAGAGCATGAGGCTTTGAGGTTAATCACAACCAAAATCACAACCTGAAAAATAACAGAACTCAACTCAACTCTACTTACTTTCTAATCTCGATACAATTGTTGTTCGAATATTGAAACCCTTGTCATTTGAAACTGTAGGAAATCGAGAATTAAGGCAAAATTAGAACAAAATGAGAGGACTGAAGAAAAAAAAAGGGGAGAGAGTGAATTGAGCAGAACTAACGCTTAGAGCTAGGATTTTGTATAGCGTAGTGAAGACGAAGAAGAAACCTTCTTCAAATCATAGGTAGAATTCTTTTTAAAGTAAAAAAATCATAGTTAAACTTTAGAAATACCTTCTTCAATGAAATTCCTTCCTGATCCTAACCGATGCCAAAATTCTGAAAACTGTGGAGATGAATGCGGAGGCGTCGCGTTGATGATTAGGGCAATAATACTCATCTTTGCAAATTGATGACTTGAAGATCGTGGACAGACAACCACTTTTCTCTCAGTAACTTTACAGCCTGCTCTTACCTGAGCTTTTGTGTGACTCATTTTAAGATCACTGTACATTACCTATAGTGCAACCCTCATTGGCAGAGAACTATATAATTTTATAGTTCAACTTCTAAGAAAGTTTCATGTTAGCATCCAACAAGTAAAATAAGCGGATTGGCCCAAAATTCTCATGACGAAATGTTGTACAATTCTACAATGAAATACCAGTCCCAATCAAAACCCACCCGAGAGTTGAAATTACGGACATCGTGCTCATATTCTTAGATCATCATAGATCTGATAATGCTAAAATTCAATAATTGGAATCTGGAGTGACGCCATTCAAGGAAAGGGGTCTAATTGCTAAATAGTACGCTTTGAGAAATTCTGCTAGAAACGCGAATCAAATTGCTCTACGCAATTAGATAACCTTTGCAAATTAGACATCAGGAAAAAATAAATAAAATCCAAATCATCAAACCTTTTGCTTGACAACGGGGTTCTTGTGATCAATCCGCTTGAGGATGTAATCGGAAACCTCCTTGACGATACTGACATGAGAAGTCCTCAGCAGATCGCAGATCTCCTCCAGTTTGTAAACAGGAGCGAATTTGACCTCGTCCGATGTGACTCCATCGACCATCTGAAACACGAATCAAGTTGCTCTACGCAATTAGATAACCTTTGCAAATTAGACATCGGGAAAAAAATAAATAAAATCCAAATCATCAAACCTTTTGCTTGACAACGGGGCTCTTGTGATCAATCTGCTTGAGGATGTAATCGGAAACCTACTTGACGATACTGACATGAGAAGTCCTCAGCAGATCGAAGATCTCCTCCAGTTTGTAAATAGGAGCGACCTTGACCTCGTCCGATGTGACTCCATCGACCATCTTAGATCTCCAGTACGCCTCGACCGCTCTCCTGCTCGAATCCCTCGTCCGATGTGACTCCATCGACCATCTTAGATCTCCAGTACGCCTCGACCGCTCTCCTGCTCGAATCCATGGTCGATTCGAAACCCTAGAAAAGATTATTGTGTAACGCTTATAAGGGAGAACTTGGGTATATTTAAAATGGTTGAGGGTTAATTTGGGGAGGAGAAAGGTTTACAGGAACTCGCTCTTTTAAAGGGTAGATAGATTAAGAGTTAACTCTTCCATTATAAAGAAAATAGTCAAAATTATTTTTATTCCCAAACACTAAAACTGATCACATAGACTAAAATAAAACTTATTTAACAAGTTAATAATTTAATCCTTCAGATTATTGAATGAACTAAGTATATTAATCCTTCTTTTTAACCCCTCCTCTTTAACCCTTTGTCAAATGGGCCCTAAAATAATTTGTTAGCATATTTTTATTTTTTTCCCCCTTTGATATAATGACTGTACTGTCATTATTGTATGGTTTTATATTGAGGGTCCTCTTTAATTCGCAGATGACTTGTTACATCAGTAAGAGTTAAAGAATACAGATCATTTGAGGGCCCATTAATAGCTATATGGGCGTCTATGTTTTGTTAAAACCCATTATAGAAAAGCACATGCCTTTTATATAATGGAATTGAATGGGCCGGGCCGTATAAAGGCTCTCAAGACTCCGCGTCTCCGCCCTTCGTCAAGTTCTTAATTAAATTCCCATTCGCAGCACCGGCCATATTATTTAGGACAAAAAGTATATTTTATGGGTTAATCCAATGTTTCAAAAACACTCTCCAACTTATCTTTAATTAAGCTACTTTAAGATAGATTTATCATGTATGGTTAAAAATGGTATAAATTAATACAAAGCTTCGATAGACATACAATTAGATATTATAAAAACTATGGAGTCTGCTGGCTATTAGATTAATTAAAAAATAAATAATTTCTTATGTTAAGATGATGAGCAAATTGAATTTCAAAAACATTAATTTAAGGTCAAATTTTCAAAATCGCCCTTTTTGCCATTTTATATAGCAAAACCGACCCTTTATGAAAATATTCAGCAAAACCGACCCTTTTCTTCTGGAAAGGGTCGGTTTTGCTGTCGGAGAAATTTTACGAAATACACGGGACTGCTAGGCCCGTGTATTTCGACCCAGCTTTGAATTGCACAGGACTAGCAGTCCCGTGAAATGGATCCCTTTGCCTCTGCTTAAAACACGGGACTAGCAGTGCCGCAGTCCCGTGTTTTAAGTAGAGAGCTCTGTGGCTACAAAAAAAACAAGTGCACGGGACTGCTAGTCCCATGCACTTCCTAGCCACAATGAAATGCACGGGACTAGCAGTCCCGTGCAATGGATTCCTTTACCCGTGGCCCTCTCCTTTCCTCATTTGCTTCACCCATGACTCCCTCAACCCCCTACCTCATTTGCTTCACCCGTCAATCCCTCAACCCATACCCTCTCTCTTGACCCCTCTTGACCCCTCCGCTCTCTCGTCCCTGTCTCGACGCCGCCGACCGCCGACCAAGCAAGCTCCGACCAAGGTAATGTTATTGTTTGTTTTTGTTGTTAATTTTGTTTAGCCATGAATTTTGCTTTTTAGTTGAGATTTGGGATTATGGTTGAACCATGAGTATTGTGGCTTGGGATTAGGTTTTTTGCTTTTGAGTTGAGATTTGGGATTAGGGTTTTTTGCTTTTCAGTTGAGATTTGGGATTAGGGTTTAGTTGAGATTTGGGATTAGAGTTTAACCATGATTAGGGTTTAGACATGAATAATGTGATTTGGGATTAGGGTTTTTAGCCATTATTTGCTTTCCAGTTGAAATTAGGGTTTTAAATTTGACTTTGAATTAAGATTAATATTTCTAGTTATAATAGATTATTTACATATGATGGACTGTTGATTTTTAGTTTCGATGACAAACTCTATACCCATTATTTGCTTCTTCAATGGGAGCCTCGGTGTCGGATTGAATAATAGTATGCCGATGTATGAGGGAGGTTTTAGGAAAATATTTATGCTATCTAAGTCATTCAATTTTGATGGAATAATGAATGAAATACACAGAGTTACGAAAATTAATAAAGCAGAGTATGCAATTAAAGTGTTCTTCAATTGTCATGAATGAAATACACAGAGTTACGAAAATTAATAAAGCAGAGTATGCAATTAAAGTGTTCTTCAATTGTCCGATAAATGAGAGTAGAACTATTTAATAAAGCAGAGTATGCAATTAAAGTGTTCTTCAATTGTCCGATAAATGAGAGTAGAACTATTGCTGTGGTGATTACCGACGATAAGGAATTGAATGACATGAAACAATTAGTGGAGAAGCAAATGTCAATTGAGTTGTTCATTGAGAAGTATCCGATTCAAGAATTTGCCAAGTTTCACGACCTCAAGGAGAGTTTTCTCGGATGCTTGACTTAAGACAATGAGTCGAGTGGTTTTATGACATCTCCAAGTCAAGAGTCATGGTTTCAACTATAACATTTAAGTGAGCATTTTCTTTGTGGGACGTCAAGTACTATATTTAGCGACGCTTCGGGCTATGTTACGGGTGATCTACCGGCCGGATCAATTGTAGAAGAAGAAGTAAATGGCGACTCAGAAGATATTGAAGAAGAAGGCATGCAAATTGGTAGCATGCATGTGACAGTTGGAATCGATGATGATTCTCGTTGGATGGAACAATTTAATGTTAACAATGATTATGTGGAAGTTGAATATCCGTTGCCCGACGAGTTTCATAATGAAGATTGGATAAATACTTCGCTAGCTGAATTTGTTGATGTTGGTCCAAATTTTCAATGGCCTGAGGACTTCACTTTTAAAAAAGGAGACCTATTCGAGAGCAAGGAAGCATTGATCTTTGCAGTCCGAGATTGGTCTATCAAAAATCGGGTCAAATTCAAACCTGTAAAAACTAAGGCAACCCACTACTATGTAAAATGTTATTTCAACGAAAAGAATGAAGTAGAGCATGCAAATGAGCAAGATGGGAGAAATAGGAAATGTCATTGGTTGCTAAATGCAGCTGTGAGGAAATCATCAAATGTGTAATTTATAATATCTAGATATTGCGAGCTTCATACATGTTGCAACCCGTCGGTGGATGTTGATAATTATTCTGCATCTTCCTCTTATATATGTAAGCTAATAATGCTTGAAGTTAGAGCTGAACTTGATCTAAATGCAAGTCAGATATTTCAAAGGGTATATGATATGCGGGGCATTAAGATATCTAAATATAAGGCATATGATGCAAGGAGGAAAGCGTTGTCTAAAATATTTAGAGATTGAGAAAAATCTTATGAATTACTTCCACAGTATCATGAAGCTATCAAGCGAAATAATCTGGGTACTGAATATGAATTACTAGCTGTCCTGTGTTTTAAGCAGAGACAAAGGAATCTATTGCACGGAACTGCTAGTCCCGTGCAATTCAAAGCTGTGTCGAAATACACGGGATTAGCAGTCCCGTGTATTTCGTAAAATTTCTCCGACAGCAAAACTGACACTTTTCAGAAGAAAATGGTCGGTTTTGCTGAATATTTTCATAAGGGGTTGGTTTTGCTATATAAAATGGCAAAAAGGGCGATTTTGAAAATTTGTCAAAGAGTCGGGGCTAATATTTTCTGGAAACAGGCAACAACATCCTCGAGCCAGTCCCAATCCATTTTAAAAATTATGCAATTAGGCCCTTTAATAAACATGGGGTCAAACAAGTTGGAGCGTGATAATAGACTAAGTCTTTCAATTTGGTCCGGCAAATCATGGAAGGCAAGTTTTTTTCTTCCTTTAAAATTTTTGTTCCGTGACTAAGTCTTGATAATACAAACAAATAAAAAAAAAAAAAATCCTTTTTTACACAAATAGTGATTTCCCAATCCAAACTTCTTAATTCAAATTAACTCCACAGTATGATGTGCATGAATTTAGCATCTTCCACACTATATATACTAGCATTAGAAAAAAACTCGGGCTAGAACGCAGTTCTAAATGTTCCCAATATAGTAAAAACGATTCTCAAGAGTGAGTCATACACAGAAGTACGTATAGAGCAAACTCTATATCTAGGTTTCGGCAATACCTCTTAGAGGTTTTTCATTAGTACATGTCAAAAGTGAGATTATATTAAAAATATAAAATTTAAAAAAAAATGGAAAATAAATCATAAGAACAAGTGGCGGACTCTAAAGAGCCCAGGCATTTGGCAAAGCTGAGATTACATCTGGAAGAATAGGATCAACAAACATAAGATATAGTATCCGGACTGTTAATTGCCTTCTTTAATCAGAACAATCGATTCCACAATGAGCATAGCGTACTAATTGGGCCAGTATCATGGTCGATCATAAACCCGACCCGACACAATCCCGTACAAAACTCCTATACGGTTCGACCCGGATCGGTTCTAGTCCTACAAACCCGACCCAGTAAGACAATAGTGAACAAAGTCATACGTACCCTACCACTATAAAGCATTCTAGCTATCTTCTCTCCTCGCAAATAGAGAGAGCAAGAAAGAACAAGAATTATCGTCACAATGAAGGTCGTACTCTCCTACTGGCGTCGGAGGCGCTACCAAAGGCTTTAGAAGAGAAAATCGACGAAACCGAACAAAGAAAGCAGAGGAAGCAAAACAGATCAAATTATTTTGAGTATGTAAGGTTGTGAAAATGTGTAGTGTCAACATTTTTGAAAGATCAAATTATTTCCACATACAAGTCTGCAGGTTTCTTTGATATAAAATTTTACAGAAAAATGAGTATCTTTAATTATCAATGGCAAAATTGTTTCTAGATAGTTAGAAGGATACCCACGTTCCTGGTAGTATTATTGAAAGTAGTTTAATCGTGGCTACAATCTTCATAATATTGATTATCAATGATAAAATTGTTTCTTGATAATATTCAAAATATATCCAACAGTGGGATTTTTTTTTTTTGCTAGAAACTGTTAAATTAAATAACTATATATATGTTAAATAGGAATATAAATT